GTTAAATAGGGCAAAACTCACTTAGCAACATAAATTTTGGGCACAATTGTGGTCGTAGGTTGAGGACTGTCTATATAACAGAGTTGGAAAGGACCTTGGAGGTCTTCTAGTCCAACCCCCAGCCGAAATAGAGCTTATACCAAGGATGTCAAACGCGCAGCCTATGGGCCAGATGCGTCACGCCCTGGCCACACCCACCCGCTTTAGCAAAGGGGGAAAGTCAGGATATGTCACGTGATTACATGATGCCATGAGTTTGACACCCCTGCCTTATACCATTCCAAATGGTCGTCCAGTCATTCTTTTTTTCCCCACCTACTTCTAACCCAATGTATATGGACAAGATCTGTGGCATTCAGCTTTCCTATCAGCCTCACTGCAATCCTCATTTTTTCCACAGAAGTTGAGGTGGAAGCAGAGCACAGGGTGACAAAGAAGGAAACAAAAATACAAGAAAGTGTAAAACAGAAATGAACCACTGATTCCAATAGAAGAGTATATATGTATACTCTGAGTTTGATTGCTCACTTGCAGACATTTCATCACTGCTAGTGAGTGTGGGGTTGCTCTTTATTTATATACAACAGCTTGTGCTGCCGGTGTTGGTGAAGGATTAGTTTTCTCTTTGGTAGTTCCTTAATTAGAGTATTGTTTTCTGCTTGATTGTTTGTCTGATGTTAATCTCAATTTATTTGGCTATAGGCTGCTGAAGTAGATGTATTTTGGTCTGTTTCCTTCTTAGCTTTATTGTTTCTTTTGAAGTGTGTAAATGTAATTTATCTCTATGTGTCTATTAATGGCTGATTTGTCAGAATGCTGTGTTCCCAGGAATTACCTAGTGGTTCTGAATTTAGCTTGCTTTAGGATGCTCAGTTTCCCAAATGAAATTATGGCTGAGTCTATCCATGTGTTGTATCTTTTAATTGCCTTGTGACTGTTAGTTGGTGTTCATTCTTGTGCTGTGCTATCTTCTGCCTTCTATCCTATATAGTGGGTATTACAATCCTTACGCTACATGTTGCAGATAACTTCTGGTTTTTTTTTGGTTATCATATTTGTGTTGTTGCCTGCCTCACATGAAAGTGACACTGAGCAGTGTTGTTCTTGAGAGACTGGGAGGTTGGGTTGTTACCTTAGCAATAGAGCACCTAGCATGGGTTAGTATGGGTTGTTTTTCAATTGGCTTGTTTTTCTAATTTGCTGTCATTTCTTCTGGTGAGGATATGTAAGGACGGTAGTGAATTGTTGCTTTTATTCATTTCAAAATACTGTTGATTGTTTCACTTGTCTTTTCCAATTGTTCCTTTTTTATTATCACGGAGACGTCATCTACACATGCACATGTTGGAGTGCTATAGTTTCTAGGTGTTGGATTATAGCCTGTGCTAGGCCTAAGTGTGGTGATCCCATGGTTTTCCTTTGATCTGTTGGTCTGTCTATCAAACTGAAAGTTGGTGCTGAGTCAGAGATTGCTGAGGCTTATGATTCTGGTTATTTCAATCTTAGCATATTGGACTAGGTTGGTGTTATACAGTTGTGCTGCTGTGGATCTTTCATTCCTTCTAGATCTATGGGTGTAAAAAAGGCTATGACATCAAATGAAACTATACTTTCATTTTCTCTTTTTACATCTTTGATTTTTCTGGAGCCACTATAGTGGGGAGTTGATAGAATATTTTTTCCCCTCTATGAGATGTCCAAGCTTTGGACATATCCAAACTGCCAATTTTGCATTTGGGAAGAGAACAAAGAATGCTCATCTGAATACAAACAGAAAAGAAGTTAATTTCTTTAGAGTTATTACTTAGAGACTCACACCTTACCCCCAGGTGATTCCACTATTAGCTGCTTGAGAAATACAGCTCCACCTCAGCATAATGTGAAGTGGACTTAAAGCATTTGGTGTTCTAGGCTCATATAAATAAAACCAGTCTCCTTAACTTCTGAGTCTCCCACGGGTACATGGAATGTATGCAGTTTTCTTGGCCTCATAAAGAAGTGGTTTGCGACTGACTTCTGGATATATTTTCCACTTTCTATTTTCCCTTAAAACCTGATTCCCAAAAAGGTTATGCATTACTATGCACTATTACTCTGCCTTTTATTTGTAATTTAATTCATAAAATACTGAATGCTCAAACTGAGATAAACTGCTTAAGAAGTGTGGCACCTTTTATTTGTAAATAAATGTTTTGGATTGTTTACACCAAGGGTGTGAAACTCAAGGCCCAGGGGCTGGATCTGGCCTGCAGATCCGCCTTGGAAACAACAAAGGACCGGGCTGCAGTGTCTCTGTCAGTGAAAACGGGCTGCACACAGCCCTCCCGAACTCCATTTTCGCTGGCAGAGGGTTGCAGAAAGCTGTTGCAGCCAAAACTGGAGCTTGAGAGCCCATTTTCACTGGCAAAGCCCTCAGGCCACCACAGGCGCCACCCTGACATGAGTGATGTCATGCTGGCCACGCTCACCATGGCCATGCCCACAAGCCAACAATCCTGTGCAGCCCTCAATGAAATTGACACTCCCAGTTTACCCCAAAATATAAGGACTAAAAAAAGTTTTAGTTTTGTATACTGGATATTAAACTGCTCCAGCATCCCCAAAAGAATACAACACATTGCTTGGGCCACAACTGATTCAAGATAAGCAACAGGAAAAATAGAATTGACTCCCTGTAGTTGTATCTGTCATTAAATACACCCGATTTTTCAAAAGGAGGTAAGCAATTAAGCACTTCTATACAATTAGGTAAAAGTTAATACTGTATATCAGAAGCAGGGTGGAGTCTAACTTGAAATGGTAAGGTCCAGGAAAACCAAATTTGAACCTGTAGTAGTCCAGTATTACAAGTTTAACTTGAATAGTGTAGTAAAATAAAAATATGGCTAGGCATGACTGCTGTTCCACACTTCTTTTAGAACCTTAAAATACTACAGCAAAAAGGAGCCACTTAGGCCATAGAACCCAACCCTTCTTCAATTTAGGAAACCAAGAGAACAAAATAGAAACTAATACAGAACAAAGAGAACAACGAAGGGGGGAGGAACCCAATATATAAATAGAAAGAAGTTTCCAAATTTCTTTTAAGCAAACCAGTACAAAGCTATTTCTTACTTTATGATTACAAAAAAGCTACTCTTTTCTATTATCTGCCTTTTTTAATCATCAAAACTGAAAATCAAAAGTGCATTTTTTGTTTTATGCCAAAAAAAATAATAATTGTAAGAGATTTTCAGCCAGCTGTCAATGTAGATAAATATATTTTCTCTAATTAAAAAAAAGTTAATTTAGTTGCCTCTGCAAGTTCCACCAGTTTCACCAACCACTGTGGGTAGTGTTGAATCGTTCCACTTTGGAGAATATGATAATCTTGCTACAAGTGTCATATATAAGAACAAAGATTCATAACTTTTTTCTTAGTTGCCTATTAGTTCCAAAAGAAAGCCTCTGGTTTAAATTGTACTTTAATATTTAAAATGTTCTTAATGTACTATATGAATTTTGTATCCACTTTTAAAAAGTTTTTTTACATGATAAATGTCTTTCTACTAGCTCTTTGTATTGTATATTGAATTCTACTGTCACTGATTTATTAGGATACTTTTTCCTTCTAGAATTCAATGGTTATCTACCTTTCTATTGCTTAAATTGTTATTTCGGGTCTTACACGATGGAATAGTAGAGAACTAGTCTTTTATTTTTTTTATATGCAGCATTCTTTCAGTGTTTGAAGCATTCCCTCAGCCTTTCTTTAACCCTATTGCCCTAAGTTTATTGTATCTTTTGACAGGATTCTTTTCTTAGACCTCTGATCGTCCTCACTGCCCTTCTCTGCACCGATCCAATTCATCTAAAACCTTCTTGAAACAAGGCATCCAGAACAGAGGAGTGGGGCTGGGGATCTGACCAAATACAGAATATGTGTGTTACTTCTTATGACTAAGAAACAGCTCATCTATTGATGTAGCCTAAAATTACATTTGCTGCTTTTTGGTCTGTTCACTCACATTCAGTTTGGAATCAACTAGTATTTTAAGTTCTTCAAAAGTATCACTAGGAAGTGAGATATCCCTGATCCTCTCTCAAGTACATTTGATTCTCCTCCCCAAGACAAACAAAACAAAAAAACAAGAAAAAAAAATCCTTTACCTTTCAATGTTATGGCCATGTTTAACTACTCTTATGAATAACCTACTTTGTAAAATATAAAAGAATCAAAGAGAGAATTAGGAAGGGAATGAGACTGAAATTGTTTTTGAGATTCAGATTGAAAAGTTGGAACGGGCCTCTGCGCTTTGACACAAGGCACTGTAACAAGTGGCCTTCTGTTTCACTAGACTCAGATTTATATTTCATTTCCAAAAGGGTAACATTTCAATATATGTCAAGTTTTATTTTTTGCAGTAATAAGTAGACTTTAATGAGAAAAATATTATAGAGGTATATAAATAAAATATTACCTATATTGTTTATATTATACAATATAAATAAATGTATGAACATTTTACAACATCCTTGGTATTGCACGCAAAAAAAAACAAACTTTGGTAGTCAAATATCATCTTTTCTACAATTTACCTGATGAAAGGATGTGCAAGATTCAGTTCTAACATATTACTCATCCAACAAATTCAGCTGGTAAACTCAGTTTGTACGAATCACAAGTTCTAAAATTTCCCAAACTGGATGTTTAGGAAATGGGGGTCTTCCCAGTATTATATGCATTTTGCAGAAAACTGTTGTTTAACAAACCGGTTCATCTTTAACAAAACAAAGACTCTAGGCAGGAGAAACCTGAGAAAACAGAGGTAGCGTTCGAACTCATCACTGATTTTTTTTCCTTCACAAAGCTTAGTTCTTAGATTGGGCATTTGATTTCTGAAGCTGACCTAAATAGAAACTGATTGCAGACGGGATGAATCTATCTTAACCTGATGATTTCCATGGAATTAATGAGATGGAGCACGAAACTTACATGGATTATTTTTGGTTACTATAGATCTTCATTACAATAGTCACTGGTCTTACGACTTTTCACTTTTTTTGAACTTTGAATATTCTGGACTTCATATGCAATCTGGAACGAAACAGTTTCTGTTCTATTGTAGATACTTCTTCATGGATGAGATAGGGCTGCACTCTCAGGAGGAAGGAAAACAGATCTAGCACAAATCGATAGGTATGGGGAAAATCTGATTCATTGTACCGTTCACGAGGACTGCGTGCCCTAACAAAGAAAGAAATAATGTTGAAAGAAAAGTAGCACAAATGTATTCTAAAATTAAAATGTTAAGAAAAAAGGAACCAAATCACAAATACTAATAATCTTGTGGGCTTAAAATAAAAAAAGATCCAAGGTCAATTTCCTTGGCGGAAAAGGAAGATATACATACAAATAAATAACATACAAGATAAATTCATTAAGTTTGGTTCTTGGTTTTAATGTCTACGTACTACTTCTGGAATCACAGGAATTATGTCTAAAATACATGCAGATAAAAGACAACAGGGAAGAGGGTTACTGTCTTCCTTCCATGTTGATTAGCTTCCTGAATGCATCTGGTTAGTCATAATGCTAGTCCAGATGGCCTTCAAATAAAATCATTACAGATCATCTGATGGACTTTACTGAAAGCACCAAGATAGTACAGTGAAGAGTAATGGTGTTGGATAGAGGTCATTCCACCAGTAGAACAAATCATAATTTCAGATTCATGTTCTTTCCCCTAAAAATATTTTTTCCAAAGAACTGGGATACATTTAGGAAATGAGGTAAAGTAAGAAGACTGAAGTGAAGGTAAAAGTAAAGTGAATAATCTGTAATAGTGAAGGTAAAGTGAATAATCTGTAATATTGGATGTAGTCTACTTCCAAATTTATATTAATAGACAAGGTTTACAAGATAGTTCAAAGTCATCTAGCGATTATTAAATTCATAATATAATTGGTCTGATGCTTGTGGAAAATGTTTAGACTTACTATAGCCTTACTGGAGAGCTTACTTTTTAAAAAAATTCAATTAAATATAAGTTTATATTTATATAACAAGATTATACATAAATAACTAATAAATATATAAAATGCAAAATAAAAACAAAAGCAATGTAAAATAAAACCCAACATATATCATTTACATCTAAAATTAATTAAAATGCTCATAATTAATAGGATTCCTCTCAGATCATGGGGTTAATAATGTTCCTCATTGATCATTTTAAAAATTATTTTTATTTGGTTAACAACCTGTAGGAGAAGAACTGGCAGAACCTGAGGGCCGAGTCAAAAGAGGAATCAACCCAGAGTCTCTATGTGGCCACAAATGGACTAAGTTCAAACCCGCTTGAATTTCACTGACCCTTCCCTAGAGCTAAAATAGTGTTAACCATTAGCTGAATAGATTCCTGTGCATAAGCATGTTGTCAGTTTAAGTGGAACTTCACGCCTGATACAACTTTTGGCAATCTCTCGTTTGGATCACCAAACATACTAGGATTGGATCACCAAACATACTTGTGTACTGGTGCTCTAATATAGGAAATTTAATTTAGCCATTTTAAAACAGAACATTCAACATACATTTTCAACAAAAGCATTAAATATTTACCTCTTGCGCTTTTTAACTGTACACAACCAATAGTTTCTGTTCAGAGGGGTAAAGGTATCTCCTTTTTGTTGCAAAAGTGCTCCGAGACTATGACCATGAAAACAGTCCTTTTTTGTGCTTTCTTCAGTCCAGTTGAACTGGAAAAGGGAAGGCTTTCGCTTCTCAGTTAGTTCCAGGCAACCAGTCAGGGTACGAAACTGCCTCTGAAGATCCATTACCATCTCTGTACAAAACAAAATATTACAATAATAAAGTACAACCATTCAAGATTGTTTTGTCAAGATTGTTTTAGGTACACCCAAACATTTCAGGCTGAAGGAAACAACCTTCACATAACACATTCAAATCCTTTGTAAAAGTTGCCTCAAAATTCAGAAGCGATAGAAGAGGTTAAAGCATTATTAAAACCTGCGAGACTATGGGCATCTCATTTAATGTCAATTTACACAAATAGTTCTCACAAATAGTTGTGTGGATGAAAACAAACTTGAAAAATCTTATTGTTTTAAGAAAGGATGACATATATTTCCTCCTCATGAATTTCTATTCTTGGAGTCTCACGAAGTGTAACTTCAAGAGAGAAGCTCCAGGAGCAAGTGAGGAAGGATCCAATTTCTAATTTTGTTTCATTTATTTATTGGTTTCAATTTAGGTACTACCTGATCTTAAATCAACCATGGGCAGCTAGCAAAATTATAAACAATAAAAACAAAATACAACACAAAAAAAGGGGGATCAAATTGGTCTATACGAGGACTGTCCCTATCTAAAAAAAAAATCTCAAGTGGAGCTATCATCTCAATTCTTAGATCGGACTGAAAGAACAATGCAATAGCTCAACCCAGCACTAACGTATGTCTAAAATTGAAAGCTCTAACAACTGGAGTTGTCAATAAACTAGAATAGTTAAGCAATATAAGGGAAAAAAATGCAAAACAGGAAATTCCAAGAGTGCTGTTTAATGTTAATTTGTTGTTAAATTTGTGGTCCTTTGTTGTCTTTCTGGTCTTAGAAAAAAAAAAAGATGGCCAAATCCCTTCCATGGTATTTAAGGGAATATAAATTTACAGTAAGGAAATTATGTGTGCCTCCAATGCCCGCCTAGCCCCCTACCCCCGCTTCAAAAGAAGTATTTGCAATCTTGGGATTTAAGAAAGCATTAGGAAGAAGTATTTCAATTATCAATAAATAAATAAATTCTGCACCACTACTCTCAGAAGAAAATGTATAGCCAAAACAGCTGTAGCCAGGCTAAAATGGTTAATAAAGAGGGGCATAAAAAACTGAAGCCCTGGTCTGCATAGCATACTATGTGGGAAACTTAAACCACATCTATCTAGAAATGGAAATGCAAAATCTTAGTACCCAGGAACCTCCCATGAATAGCCATGAAAATATGTGGCAGAATTATTTCTGGAAGAATCCAAGTGATCTATGCAATCGTTGCCAACACTATATTTCTCTGGAGGAGAAAAAGAATGCAGGCAAAGTTAAAAGAGGACCATCCTGCGCATGGCGGAATTATACTGAGGTTAACATACTAGACCTCAGCAAGGAAGAATCAACTGAGAAATTTCAGTTGGAAGCCTAGTTTCTGACCAGGGAGATGGTCAGGTGATTTCAATTACAGGGGGAACAGGCTAAACAGGGACACTTCTCAAGCCAATTTCTAGGATGTCCAGAGTTGTTGGCCACCCTACAAATTTAAAAAGGTAAAGGCTGAAAAAATGAATTTTAATTCATTGTGACAGAACATAGATAGCAAATAAAACTAAATGATCTAATCTGAATAAATGGGTGGATAAAAGGAAAAACCTATTCAGCAGAAGCTATTCAATGCTAGTTCTTATATCTTAAGGAATCAGAAGTGAAGTTTAACAAATCTTTAACAAATACAGATACTACAAAAACCATACGATTTTCTTAACTGAACACCAGGGAAGAAAGCTATTCATTAGAAATCTCAGAGTGCCTACAGTAGAACATCTCTTTGACTTGAACAACATTCAAAGTGACGAGCTCTTGGGGAATTCTATTCCACTCAGCTCACAAAGTAGGACTAGTATGAGGATCAAGATGGCTCTTTTTTCTGTTGAGTTAAAATGAGAAATTAGACTTTGTTTTTCTGGAAGGAGGTACTCTTCTAATGTGTTCGTATTAGGGCGCAGAATGGGAAAGAGAGTCTGGAAATGGATTTCCTGGAAGGATTAGTTCTAGGAAATGCTTAACATTATCTACTCAGAAAGATTAGGGCGAATGATCTGGCTAGAGAGGATCTGCTCCTGTGATTTTGATATGTCTCACATACTCTGGTAAATTACCTAGTAAAAGTCACCCGTGTAATATCAGCAGTCATATAAATCATATAAATAAATAGACAAATGAATAAAATTTATTTTATAATTGTAGAGCAAGTTATTTTTGCTTCTCATTCTCTGAATGAAAAGGAATATGATGTATATTTTAGGAAAGGGAAGTAACAGGAAGTATACTCACGTTTTTTCTTGAGGACAACATACTTTTCAGAGGCTGAATATAATAGTGGTTTCTCACATCGCCATAAACGCCTAAAAATGAAATAATAGCTGTGGGTGCATGGAGGAAACATTTAAATATCCCCAAATGGTCATGTTACAATCAAACCTATATACAGGTCCCCCTTCCCTTAAGTTCTGCGAGTTGAGAACTGGACCCTAAACGAATGTACAACTGAAGCCATACATGCAACCTTCTACAATGCTGTAATAAATCTGGGACTGGAACAACTAGTAACCAATAAATTCTAGGCTTAACAACTGCCTCGATCTCATCTTCTGCAATAGTTTGAATTCAATTTACGGAATACAAATTTCCAACAGTGACCACAACATGATTGACTTTTGTCTCAACATACATCCACACAAAAATCATCACAACAACAAAATCCCCAATTATAACTTCAAAAAAGGCAACTATGATCTTATAATCAACGACCTCTCTTCCCTATTTCTATTCACTGGATGCAATACTGTTGAAGACCATTACAACACATTCTTACTAGAAATCAAAAGAGCCATCAAACTACATGTACCATTAACAACTCCCAAAACCAGAAAAAACAAATTACCCATAACAATAAGGAAACTTCAATCCAAAAAGAGATCACTTTGGCGAAAAAACAAATCTGGTCATCTTGTCAACTTCAAAAGTTGATACAAAAATCTATGCCACCAGATAAAAACTGAATGCACTAATTATCACATTAAACAAGAGGAAAACCTTCTACGCACAAATTCCATCCGCGCCTTCTACAATTTTGTAAACAACAAACTAAAAGACTCAAGGTCAATCCCACCCCTGAAAGGACCTAATGGTAAAGACTGCAATGACAACACCATCAAAGCTAACACATTCTTTGGCTCAGTATTTGTAAACAGCAATGGATCAAGCCCAGTACTTCCTAGTCGAACCACAGACAACTGCAATGATCTAATACATATCGATTTTACAGTAGACAATGTTGAAAAAGCACTACGCAATCTAAAACTATCTCTATCTATTGGACCGGATGGAATATGTGCCTACTTCTTAAAAAAGCTATCCACTGCCATACCCGAACCTCTACGCAGAATCTTTGAAAAATCTTTCAGGACCAGCTCCTTGCCAAAACTATGGTCACAAGTCACAGTCATCCCCATCTTCAAAAAGGGAGACCCCAGCCTAGTTGAAAATTACAGACCAATCTCCTTATGCTGCGTTACCTGTAAAGTCATGGAATCAATTATTAACCAATCCATTATCCTCCCTTAGAGACAAACAACCTACCCTCTAATAAACAATTTGGTTTCAGAAAAAAACTATCCTTTAATCTGCAACTCTTACACTGCAAAAACATATGGACTACACAACTCGATCAGGGCAAAGCAATAGATGCAATCTACATAGACTTCTGTAAAGCCTTTGATTCAGTGGTACACGACAAACTACTACTAAAACTAAAATCTTATGTTATCTATGGACACCTACATAACTGGATAGAAGCATTCCTGTCAAACAGACAACAAATTGTCAAAATTGGGAGCGTCCTATCAAATTCTGTACCTGTCAACAGTGGTGTCCCCCAAGGCAGTGTTTTAGGACCAACTCTCTTCATACTCTACATAAATGACCTCTGTGATCATATTAAGAGCAACTGCGTTCTCTTCACTGATGATGTAAAGCTATTCAACACCACAGACAATACTACTACCCTCCAAAAAGACCTTGACTATGTATCAGAATGGTCAATCAAATGGCAACTTCAAATCTCAACAAATAAATGCTCTGTCTTACATACTGGCAAAAAAAATCAGAAAATAAAATACAAGCTAAATAGTCAAGACCTTGCTGAGGATCCAAACTCTGTCAAGGACCTTGGAGTATTCATCTCTAATGATCTAAGTGCTAGATCCCACTGTAACTACATAGCCAAAAAGGCATTAAGAGTTGTTAATCTAATCCTACGAAGCTTCTTCTCTGGTAATATCACACTACTAACTAGAGCATACAAAACATTTGCTAGACCTATACTTGAATACAGCTCATCAGTCTGGAACCCATACCACGTATCTGATATTAACACAATTGAAAAAGTCCAAAAATATTTCACAAGAAGAGTTCTCCGCTCCTCTACTCATTGCAGAATACCTTATGCCACCAGACTTGAAGCTCTAGACCTAGAAAACCTAGAACTACGCCGCCTCTGGTCCGATCTAAATATAGTATATAAAATCATACATTGCAATGTCCTACCTGCAAATGAATACTTCAGCTTCAATCATAACAATACAAGAGCACACAACAGATACAAACTCAAGGTTAACCGCACCAAATTTGATTGCAGAAAATATGACTTCAGCAACAGAGTGGTCAATGTTTGGAATACTCTACCTGACTCTGTGGTTTCTTCCCCAAACCCCAAAAACTTTAACCTTAGACTGTCTACTATTGACCTCACCCCCTTCCTAAGAGGCCTGTAGGGGGCGTGCATAAGCACACCAATTGTGCCTACCGTCCCTGTCCTATTGTTTCTTTTATATTTTATATTTTTTATTTTTCTTATATGTATTCATGTATTCATAACTATGTTTACTCTTATACCTGTATCTTGTAAGCGATTGACAAATCAAATAAATACTAAATACTAAAATTATGTCATGCTTCCACATACACAGTTTTACATGACTTCTAACTTTACCATTATCTCTTTAGTATCATTATTCTTTCCTCAAATGGAAAATGTTGACCAGTTGACCAGTACTGGCCTCAACTGTTAACAGGGAATGTTGCATGCAAGCTGGAGGCAACCGAAGCTTGTAACTTAGGTTACACTTTTCCAAATAACTGGACCAAATTGACCAAAGCCACCACAGATGGTAGAGATGAGTAATTATGATTTACCTGGTAACGATGGCAAATGGAAGACTACCACATAGAGCAGAGTCCACAACACCCAGGCCATGGCTCACAACCGGGCTATCAGCACCTCAGAACCGGGCTGCCCAAAGCAGCGTGCGAGCACTCACACATCCCCAGTGGGCGAGAGTGCGCATGCATGTTCCATTTGCGCAAGTAGCAGGCATGTGTGCCTGCCACTCGCACAAATGGAGCTGTGTATGCATGCGGGTGCTTGCCCGCCTCTCACGCAGAATTATTCCCTTCCCCAGTCCACAAAGCCAAAAAAGCTTGGGGAACTGACATAAAGTATAAGTGGACTCAATGATAAATACCATGAATTAACAGAAGAATTTAAAAAAAAAAAAACCAGTTTGATACATTTTATGTATGTGAAACCAAGGGAAGCCGGAAGTACGATTTTGATATTATAGATCAAAGTGGATAAAAACAGACATGAAAGCAAAAATATAGGTTTGATTATGAATGAAATAGCTAACCTATGGTTTAGAGTAAAACTCCAGAAGGTGAGAAAAGCTGTGTATGTTGGGCCATTTATTTTATTAGATTATATGAACGAGTAGGTGTGAACAAAATGAGGGAGTACAAAACAGAAGTGCTTTGGGCCATTCAGAGACTCCATCTGCTTGGAAAAATTATATTTAATAGCAATAGCAATAGCACTTAGATTGATATGCTGCTTCAGAGTGCTTGTAAAGCCCTCTCTAAGTGGTTTATAGAGTCAGCCTATTGCTCCCAACAATCTGAGTCCTCATTTTATCCACCTGGGAAGGATGGAAAGCTGAGTCAACCTTGAGCTGGTTAGGATCAAACTCCTGGCAGTCAGCAGATTTAGTCTGCATTACTGCATTCTAACCACTGCGCTGCCACAGCTCATGTCTGTTTAACTGTATGTATAGAAAAGGAGTCAATAAATAATAAGTGTATTAAAAAAGACTGAGTGAATTAATGAATGATACAAGGACAATGAGAGTTTGAAATGTGGGGCCATTAGCTAATATAGAGGGAACTTTCGGGGGAAAATGAACATGGAAAAAAAATTAAAACCAAAATGAAAGTTGAAAGCCTGCAGGAAGATAAAATATTAAACCCTTATGAAAAGGGAGTAGCAATATAATTTCCCAACACAATAAATAGAAAATAAATAGATGAAAGGATGTGGAAGCTCTTTGGAATAAACTGAAAAAAATTATAGTACATAATACCATAGAAGAGTATGCAGCTATAGATATGAAAAAGAATACTAGGCAGAATAACTAAATGCAAGAGGCTTTGTGGATGAGGAATAAAACAGAACAGAACAGATAGAATAGAATAAAATCAGTGGTGAGATGAATTTGTGAACTTTTTAGAATGATCCCTAATGCTATAATGTGTGGTCTGCAGTGAGATCTGGGCTTCCTCCAATTCCTGCTAATAGATATTCTATTTAAATAAACCTCACAGAAAGCAGTGCACTTCATTGTTTGTTTAAGCACTCTCTTTACTGAGAATCAGATAACCTCTGACACAGTAGTACAATATTACGTATAGTTCTGAAGAATTTACACTACAGTATATTAGCTAATGATTGCCGCAAAAATGATAAAAGAAGCTTACAATATAATGTGAGGTAAAGAAAGCTGCAATGAAAAAAATAAATCAGAGCAAGAATTAGTTAAACAATCTAATACTTAAAAGGAGGCTTAGGTAATGGAAAACAACTTTGATTATAATAAAACATAGTTCTTCAAGTGAATGAAAATGACCAATAAGGAACCTCCAGGAGAATGAGTTGAATTAAAAATAAAATTCACAAAATAATTTGGGATAAAACTGACATGAAGGAATATTTGGAATATTTTTGACACCTGTAGGGGAATGATAGTGATTTGCCAAAGAATGGGACCGAAATGCACATCTAGGAAATATATTGATGAAAACGAAATCATAAATATAGTGAGTATGTTGAAAAAAATCAGACGACTACATGTGTAGAATATATATTAAAGAAATGTGAAAATACAGGTGTGCTTGTGAAGTGGCTGGTTGACATGTGCGTATAAAGGCTGTGTCTGAAAATTGAAATATAACACCAACAATATCTGGTAGGGAACTTAATCGCAAATATCCACAACAGAAGTCTAATATATAATTTATCATGCAGCTAGGCAAATACAACCTCTTACAGTATGATTTCTAAGGGGCTCCAAATGTTTATACTCACTGCAAATTGATCAGAGTACAAAGAAAGGGGAAGTTAGAGGAGAAAAAAAATCAGAGCAAACAGATAAATGCAGCAGTGGCGTTGCTTGGAGTAGTACTTTAGAAAATATTTTAAAAATGGAAAATGAAGACATTTTACGATGAGCCAGTGATATTATGTGTTACGATGAGCCAGTGATATTATATTTGTTGCAAAGAATAAACATTTGCTTCAAAAGTGAGATGGCTAAATTTAAACAGGGACTTCTGTTCACTTTGTTACCAGGAAGTGACAGTTGGGTGTGTCAGGGGAACAAGTGGAATGCCATGGAAAGGGGGTATTTAAAAAGTCTGACATGAAAAATAAGAAGAGATAAAAGTCACGAAGGTGGACCAAATATTAATGATGTATATTACGCTGGTTTAGTCATACAAAGAGAATGAATGAGGATTGAGTTCCAAAAGAAATATATGAACAGATTGAGAGAAACAGGAAAACCGATAAAACCATTATTGACTGAAGTTGATGAGAAACTGAAAAGAGGAAAGTTATATAAAAGGACAAAAATAATGAAGCAGTGTATACATGTGAGGGAAGCAAGACTGGTTTATATGGATATAAAGATAATGGAGAGATGCAATGAATGGTGTTGGTGTAAATTACAGTAAGCTGTATTTTGTTTTCTTATAATGCCCTATTTTCTTTGGCTCACTATTTCTTACTTCTTTGCTTTCTTTTGCATAACCTAAAAGGAACTGTCACATATAAGAATATGTATTTCAGAAATATACCTGATTCTTTCTTCATTATATTTCTTCTGCTCCACATCCAGAATATTCTTTACAACAATGTACCATTTTTTAATATCAAAAATTGGACAACCTGTAGTACAAGACAGCTTGTAAATCTTCTCTTAAAAGCATTCAATAGTGAAGAAAACTCAGAAACAGAGACAAGCCTTATTACACAAACAAACCAGGCTAACTCTCTCTACTGTGTAATTAAAAGTGCTACACTGATTTTCCGATATCCTAAGATTAAGGGCATATATTAGCTAATATAAACAAGTCTACTTCCTAATGCATTTTTAAAGATAATGATTTAATTCCAAACAAGCTACACTGAAGCCTTTAAAACAATTTCACCAGCTTTGCCACCCTGTGACAAAACAATCTTTATTAAACCATAATAGCCCTGGGATACACAGAGCTCCATTGACCAAAACATGTAGGTCATCAAAACAGTTTAATACTAATCACAGTTATGGACAGCGGGAAGATTTGAGGGAAACTGCATCAAAATAGTGAGCGACTGTGAGAAAGAAAAGCATAAACTTGCAGCCAGTCTGTGAATGCCTGTGACTAAAAAACTGGTTGATTCACATGACCTCTGAACTTACCGACTCAAAACTTATATCCTATAAGTAGCATAGATATACAACTCTAAAATCCAGGCAACCTCTTGAACATTCTTAAAGTCATCTGCCAACATATTCTGAACTATGCAAAGTTTTTTGTTTTCTCTTTCCTAATTTGAAATATTTTTCAGATTAGTCTTCACAATTATGCCACAGATACTTTAGGACGAATGGTTGAAATTACAAAAGTAATTATAGTTTTATTTTTTTTAAAGTTTGGTTACCTTCTTCATTTTTTTTGTTTCTTTCTTTCACGTAGTTTGCTAGCAACCTGAAAATACAAAATATTAATCAGATTGGCTTATTTATTGGAATCATGTCCCTGTATTTAAACTTATCAAATGTATTTACTATTTACTATTTCTATTACTACCACTGGGCCACTTAAAAATTTAATAGCCCAGAAATCTACTGTAGTCTGTCAGCCTTATATTTACACTATATACAAGTTAGCACCTGCTGCATCAAAGTGGCACATCACTAAATTTTCACAGAAATTCAGGTTGCCAGCGCAGCCCAAATATTAAACTTCACTGCATCAAAACAATTTTTATCTGCCTGCACATAAGATTAAAATAATACTTTAATTAATATTAGGTTCAGTAAATTCTGACACTGTTACAGCTTCAATAAACACAATCTGTCATAGGAAATTGGCAAAAGGAAATGCAAGTTGCAATTTATTTTTTATTTATTAGGTTTATGTATTGTCTCTTGACTGTACATATTGCTGACTTCTTTTTTCCCTACAACACTTCGGTGAAGTAGGCTGGGCTGAGAGAAACTGACTCACCCAAAGCTATCCAGTGAGAGTCATGGTTGAAATTAATATTAACCAAGCAATAAGCTAACTTTTATCTAAACTAATGTAATCTTTTTAGATTTTTACAGTTAAGAACATTTGACTAATTTTGCAATTCAGAACTGGAAAGTTAAGTATTCTTTTTTATAAAGCAAAGGACACTTACCACTCATATTCATCATCCAATAAGAATAGAATTTTCAGCACTACTATAATAATAGCTACAGCAAGTATATCGTATTTCACTTTCCAAGTTGATTTATTGCCAGGATGAAGTGTCAGAAAGTCTGTTTCATCAACACCAATTTTTTTTATCACTCTACAAGTCCATTTATTCATATCATCTGAATGAAAAAAAAAAAAAAAGATTGAGAACAGCCTCAAATGTTGTAGAATGCAGCATTCTGAAATAGTCATATCAACCGTGAGTTACATATTTTCTCTCTGAAATAGTTACCGTATATACTCGAGTATAAGTCGACCCGAATATAAGCCGAGGCACCTAATTTTACCACAAAAAAACTGGGAAAACTTATTGACTCGAGTATAAGCCGAGGGTGGGAAATGCAGCAGCTACTGGTAAATTTCAAAAATAAAAATAATTAATTTGGGAAACGATCTCACTATCATGAAAGGTTTAATTGATTCACTAACCCGAAAGAAGATGATGATGACAGGAGGAGGAGGTGGTGGTGGTGGTGGCGGCTCGTGTTGTTTTCTGAGCTCTAGGCTCGCAGGCTCATAAAACAACGCGAGCCGAGACGCCCTCCTCCTCCTCTTCCTCCCGAGTGGACTGAAAGCAGCTGGGGCTGAGGAAACGAAGCCAAGCGGAGCTGAAGCCACCTCGGCTTGCGTTGTTTTCTGAGCCCGCGAGCCTAGAGCCAGGGCGCTTTCATAGCACGGCGGAGCTTCTTGTCTCGGGAAACACCGGGCGTCGTTGCTGCCCCCTGAGGGGAGGGCGAATCTGGGCTGCACGATTGGGGGACTTTGTGGCTTTGGGTGGGAGCGAGGACGGATGGAGTCCGCGAAGTGAGGCTTGCCTGCCCTTGCTGGCTGCCTCTGCTTCCTTAGGTGCGGGGAAGGGGGCTCATCTGGACCAAGGGTGAGTCTCCCCCTCAGTTTCCTCAGAAGGATCTTCCGTTGCTTTTGCCTTCTCCCTACGTCTTCCCTCTGTTAAAATCCCCCCCACACACACACACACTTATTTTCGGGAGGATAGATTTCGTGTCTGAGCATTCTCACATGATGGTGGGTCTTCCCCCCCCTAAAAACAGTTAAAAAAAGAAAAAACAATATATCCTCATGCAAGAACTTTTCTGCTTCCGATTACCCCCATGCTTACAAGTTGCAAAGGAAACACGGAAGCAGGGAAGCAGCTGCCCAGCTCCAGAGCTCCACACCATTTTTTTTCAGAGGGGAATCTGACTCGAGTATAAGCTGAGGGGGGTTTTTTCAGCACAAAAAAATGGGCTGAAAAACTCGGTTTATACTCGAGTATATACGGTATATGGTTTCAAGTAAACATGTTTAGCCCTTAGGAATTAGTTTATATTAGAACACCTCCCAGCACAAAATACCCCAGGTCAGTAAAAATAAAACTCTAAAAACTAGTTACTTTGGGCATTACATAACCAAAGTAAAACTTTTTTTTTTTACATTTTATTTTATTTGTCAATCGCTTACAAGATACAGGTATAAGAATAAATATAGTTTTGAATACATGAGATAGATACTTATAAGAAAAATAAAAAACAATAGGACAGGGACGGTAGGCACAATTGGTGCGCTTATGCACGCCCCCTACAGGTCTCTTAGGAAGGGGGTGAGGTCAATAGTAGAGTCTAAGGTTAAAGTTTTGGGGGTTTGCGGAAGAAACCACAGAGTCAGGTAGAGTATTCCAAACATTGACCACTCTGTTGCTGAAGTCGTATTTTCTGCAGTCAAGTTTGGTGCGGTTAACCTTGAGTTTGTATCTGTTGTGTGCTCTTGTATTGTTATGAAGCTGAAGTATTCATTTGCAGGTAGGACATTGCAATGTATGATTTTATATACTATATTTAGATCGGATCGAAGGCGATGGTGATGGTCTGAATAGATGTGATAGAAGACAGACAGACATAGTTCCTTATTTTTGTTTTGTAAAGGTTGAATTGCTTGTTCATTGTACCCATTACCTTGTTTTTCCATAGGAACCCCTGTTTCAAAAAATAAGGTTTTGACCAAGAACATATAAACAACTAGAAGATACTAAAGTAGACTACTAAATATTCCCTTACCAGGCAAGTTGATTTCCATCATGTATTTCATGCAAAGAATATTTGGATGAAGGAAGTTGTGCTCTGTTATATCTGGAAAACAAGGCAGGTCTATGAATCCTGCAAGGGCATGCATTTTTTTATAAACATCATCATACTTAGGCCAAGCCTGAAAAACAAAATATGTAAATAAGTAATGGAAGATGTTTTGGGTTATGAACGTAAAGAAACTCACTTTCTACCGGATTACTATCCTCATCTTAGTCAAAACAGATGCCTATGTTTTCTTAGCTACCCTACAGACCCCCAAGTATTATGCAGAGTTCCTCTAGCATCAACTTTAATCAGTTATGCTCTTTTGAAAAATACATAGCCAAAACATAAATATCACAAGAACAAATTAAATAACTTTCATTTTAAATTATTTGTTTGCAATAGCTTCAGACTATATAATTATTGTCATGCATGTACCATTACTAATAAATACTGTAGAAACATATATACATATATTTACACAGACACACAGAGAATGTATATATATAGAGAGAGAGATAATATATATAAAAAGCAGGATAAATGTAATATTTTTGTTTGCCACACAGATATTGAAACTGATTTGGGCATTTTTATCTACCTGTCCAGGGAAACTCTTTGGGATAGATCCAGATTACCTTAATTTCACAAAGGTAAAAGAGCGAAATTAGAATAGGAAAAATATCCCATGGATATCCACAAATGTTGCCTTTGCTTTTTTAGACAGTTTTTTTTTTTGTGGTGTCACACACCATTCCTCCTTTTTTCTCTGACATATCTAGAGTGCTTGGGAGACACAAGCGACTTGTTCTTATAGTTGTGATGGGAACTAGTGATCAGCAGACATGATGAAAACTCTTTTAATTGCACAACACATGGACAGACTTAACATACTTTCAACTAGGAAACTCTGAGCATCCTAGCCAACCCTAGTTTCAAATGCTAGAGAATTTCTGGAAGCCTGGTACTCAGGCAAATTGGACATCACAGGCACATAGAGATAAATAACTTCTACATACCATTCAAAAGAGGCAACCAAAAAGCCAAAAAGAAAGCAAAGACCAAAACACTTTCTCACTAGCAATCAATAACCAGATGAACAGACATTAACACCAAGATTAATATAGAGAACAATCAAGAAGTAATACCTCAATTAAGAAAGCACATAGTAGAAAACAACATTCTCACCAACACTGACAGTCAACCACTGGTATATAAAATCCCCCTTCTCTTCTAGCACTGCTGATGTTACCCAGCATGATAATGAAACATCTGCAAGAAAACAACCAAGCTCAGAACGCACCAAGGACCTTATAAAAGTGTAACACACGTATTGGTGCAGGATAAGCAGCAATGGAAGAGAAGACATTTCACTAAAGAAGCTTCCATGTGCTGAAGATTCTCCATTCATGTTTTACAAGTTATGGGGCTGAACAAAATCATTATATTATTAAATTAGACAAAAGGGGGCAAACATTGAACAAATGGGAGGAAACATTGTCATCTATGGCATAACAATTTTTCTTCCCTTGTTTTAGTTTATTTAAAAGGCTGGTGATACAACATTCGTTCAAAACATTTCAAGCTTTACTGCTCATTGAATATGCTCAAGATTCCAGAGATCAGAAACACATAATGTGTACAATTTAAAGAAAACTCTTGTACTCGAACATAAATATTTAGAAGCTGTATTACTATAGTCACGAATATTCAGATCAGCAAGTTTTCCCCCTGAAGTATCTTTCCTACCTGGAGGTTTTTCTTGAAAAACCAGAAATATTTGTATTACCAGTCAGTTGTGCATTGGGTTTATCCTGGCTTTCAGACACTTCACAACATTAGTCTAAAAGCAGGATTTAACCATGGGAATTACAATCTGGAAGCAAAAATCCTTTCCTAATATCTATGATATTTCCATGCATAATCTGTCCAAAATTTAAAAAACTATAAAATAAGATTTTAATTAACATAAAATGAACTAAACATGTAGGAAAGGTTTTATTTTGAAACATATGAATTGAAAAAACAATTTTTTCAACCCGAAGCAATAATGAGACATAAAATGCATGTGTATATTGAAACAAATTGTTTAAGGAAGACAAATAATTTTTAATAGAGAAAATTATACCGTCATTTTCATGACTATAAAGGTTTCTAGGCTCAGGCAAGTAGTCTGTTGCTTTAAGTGGCAATCCCTGGAGAAAAAATGACTGTGCTGTAGGAAACCAAAATTGCCACCAAATTAATTTGTGCATGTTGTAGGGAAGGACATATTTCATTGCACAAAATATTCTACCAATGGTGAAATGAGACAGTACACATGAAAAAGGTAGCCATTTAGTAGTCATACACAGCACTAGTCTGATCTCATAGAAATTCAATACAATTATCTAAAGGTTTTATAGAAACATTTAATGTTATTTTTAGGCGCTGAACAATTCTATCAGGATAGAGCCACTCATTTTTAAAAAGCCAACTAACTAAAAGCCATTATGAATACCTTAAATACCAAAAGCATTTAAACATATATCAAGCCATTAAAAAAAAATCTGGAATATACAGGAAATGGTGAAGACCACATTCTCTCTCCCCACCCAAGGCGATGTGAATGCTTTTTCGGTCACCTCCATAATACTGACATTTTCACTGTATTAGCAAAAATTAATCACAATTATAATGTGGATACAGACTTCCACAAAGACGAGGGGCATAATCCAAGCAAATCAGAGGTTTCCGTCAACAATATAATTTTTCTGCAGCTATTTAGCTGCCAAGTCTTTCCCTTCAAAAACAAGCAGTTTGGCCATCCAGCAGGGCAAAGACTTTTCAGGCAAAGAAATCAGTTATACCAATTTGGATATAGCAAATATATGCACACTCAGATGAAGATCAGAACAGAAGAACTTTAAAAGCCCAACACTAACATTTAGAGCAAAGGTCTTCAAGCTTTAAGACTTGTGGGCTTCAAATCCCAGAATTCCTGAGCTAACATGACTGGAGGAGGAATTCTGGGAATTGAAGTCCAGAAGTCTTAAAGCTGTCAAGTTTGAAGACCGCTGATTTAGAGCAACCTATAACAAATTGACTATCCTATTACAAGGGTGGAACGGTGATCTATTGATAAATGTGTCAGACTAGCTGGAAGAGCCAAGTTTTATCTAGTCCATTTTCAAACAAGGAAAATCACCTAATGACTCTAAACCAATCTTAGGCTTACCTTCCTCATAAGATTGTGTGGAGAAAAAAATATACTGCAATTAGATGTGAATGTGTATTTTTAAAAATATCAAAATACTACTGAATCATATAAAACCAGACACATCACTAGAAGCCAAGCATAAGATTACATCTGATTTATTTTGGCCATGTCGTGCATGGAAACTCATTGGAGAAGTCAATCATGCTAGGAATAGTTAGTGAAACAAGAAAAAGGGGCAAGCAAAGAACATGCTGGCTTGATAACATCCAATCTGATACGAAGATGAACATCCATCAACTGAAAGAAGCTGTTTTTGAAGGGTAGCATGGAGAGTGCTTGCCTATAAAGTTGCCAAGAGTCAGACACAGCTGAATGGTTAAAACAACAAACAAACAAACAAAATGTGAACATAAAAGATTATGTGTCATTGTTTTTGACTCTTTGCAATCACATAAGATTGATTTTCTCCGCAACGATCTAGGCTTAATCTGTTCCTAACAATGCACTCATTGCCACCCTTGGTCCTGGTCATCCTTTTCTCTTTCATTCCACCTTTCCCAGCATTAAAGCCATTTCTAGAGAGTTAGGTCTTTGTGTAATGTGTCCCAAGTTGTATAATTTGTCATTTATGCTGCAAACTCTGGATTGTTTTGTTTAATGATCCACTGCTTTGTTTTTTTTTTTTTTTGCTGGCCACAGTATTGCCAAGGGTCTTTTCCAATACCCGAGTTTAAAAGTGTCAATATTCTTCCTATCCTACTTCTTTAAAATCTAACTTTCACTTCCAATATAGACTGTCACAGGGAAAACTATGGTTGCATGATTCTGATCTTTGGACACATCACAACACTTGAGTATCTTTTTTAAAGATCTTCATGTTTGCTCTACCAAATGCTAATCTGCAGTATATTTCTTGACCCCTTTTTCCTTTACTTTTGATGATTATTGATGTTACTGATGTTTCCTCCGCCAAAGGGATCCATAGACATAATACTTTTTAATTAAGTCTAGGTATGTGTCTTGAAAACTCTATTTTGTCTGTACTGCTCAATAGTTCTGGTTGACTATCCAATGCACAGCCAATCCAGAGACTGCTTCTCTTTTGTAAAATTTTATGCTTAGATACTATGAGAAATGCTGCATTGTTGCATTCTCTTAAGATCATCCCACCTTACTCAGTATTGACATTTCCCCCTTACAGGATCTGAACCCTTATAGCTCTACAATGTCTTTGTCTAGTTTACTCTCTCTAATTAAAATTTATTCTAAGTCCTTGACTAACAATAGTACGTTTAGTGACTGTTCAGTTACAACAGCACTGAAAATAGTGACTTATGACTGTTTTTCCTACTTAAGTTATGACCATTGCAACATCCCCATGATCACGTGATTTACATTTGGATACCTGATAACTGACTCATATTTATGACGGTTGCAGTGTCCAGTGGTCATGTGATACTCTTTTGCGAATTTCTGACAAGCAAAGTCAATGGGAAACCAGATTCATTTAACAACCATGTTACTAATTTAACAACTGCAGCAATTCATTTAACAAATGTGGCAAGAAAAGTTGGAAAATGGGGCAAAACTCACTTAACAAATGTCTCACTTAGCAACATATATTTTAGGCTCAATTGTGGTCATAATTTGAGGACTACCTATATATGAAGAAGCAACATTTTCAGGCTTCTCTTCAAAAGTAAACCAACCTTCATTGCTAGTAGTAAAAAGTTCCAATTTTCAGACTTTTCAAGTAACCCTTGACTATGTGTATCAACCTTATGGAATTTACTGATAATCTGGGAGGGGATTCCTATGGGTCTGCATTATCTCCATTTCCAGCTTCTCTAGTGAGCAAACTATTGAGGATTCTCCTTTTTAGACATACTATAGTACTATGGGAAAATGCCAGAGTCTTGGCTAAAAGGAAAGTATTT